CTGGAGGCCCTGCTGCTACTGGAGGTCCTGGAGCTGCTGGAGGTACTGCTGGTGCTGGAGCTGCTGGTTCGGCTGGAGGTTCTGGTGCTGCTGGAGGTGCTGCTGGTGCTGGAGCTACTGGAGGTGCTGCTGGTGCTGGAGCTGCTGGAGGTGCTGCTGGTGCTGCTGGAGGTACTGGAGCTGCTGGAGGTGCTGCTGGCGCTGGTTCGACTGGAGGTTCTGGTGCTGCTGGAGGTGCTGCTGGTGCTGCTGGAGGTACTGGAGCTGCTGGAGGTGCTGCTGGCGCTGGCTCGGCTGGAGGTTCTGGTGCTGTCTCTGCTGCTTCTGGGGGCACTTCACGGCCGCGGCCGTACTTCGTTCCGCTCCTTCAGCAGGTTCTTGGTCAGCCGCCTCCTCCTAGTCCTCCTCCCTCCTTAGAGTGTCCTCTGCCTGTCCAGTCGCAGTCACAGCTACCGCCTGCCTCGCCACTTCCTGGTCCTTCTCCCTACACTGGTCCGACAGGCGGTCTTACAGAGCGTCGTGAGCCTGAGTCCCGTCCTGTGTCACCTGTGTCTCGTCCTGTGTCACCTGTTCGTGCTACTCGCACTGGTCGCCGTGTTCCGCGTGAGCGTCCTCCACCTGTCCCTGGCACACACTCTATGACTCTGCGTCCTTCCACTGCTCCACAGCGTGTCCCTTTGCCGTCTCCTCCTGCGTCCTCTCTTCCTGCTCTTGCTGACCCGGAGTCTGACCGGGTTCGTGCTGCCAGTCCTACTGTCACGCGTCTCCTGGCCACTGTTGTCACTGACCCTTCCTTTGAGTCTGCTGCTGCGTCTGCCCTAGTTGCTGAGCTTGTCGACTTTGCTGCTCACTGTCGTCTAGACTACGCCGCCAGTCTTGTTGCTGAGTCTGAGTCTGTCTGTCCTCCGTCTGTCGCGGGTGAGTGTGCTCTAGGCACGGACGTCCTTGAGGACAGACAGGAGGACCTTGAGTGTCTTGCAGCCGCTGCGCCTCATCTCGTGTCCATGCTGATTGCCCCTAAGGGAGACCCGGATGCTCCAGACATCCCGACCCCGCGCTCTTACGCTGAGGCGATCGCGGGTGAGTACTCCTCTCAGTCGCAGTCAGCCATGGATGCAGAGATGGCATCCTGGAAGTCCACTGGCACTTACGTCGACGAGGTTCCCCCTCCTGGGGCGAACATCGTCAGTGGCATGTGGATTTTCAGGGTGAAGCGGCCGCCGGGTTCCCCGCCTGTCTTCAAGGCTCGTTACGTTGCTCGAGGCTTCAGTCAGCGAGAGGGAGTAGACTTCTTTCAGACCTTCTCCCCCACCCCGAAGATGACCACTCTTCGGGTGCTACTGCACGTTGCTGCTCAGCGTGACTACGAGCTTCACTCTCTTGACTTCAGCACAGCTTTCTTGCAGGGCAGCCTGCACGAGGAGATCTGGCTGCGCCGCCCTCCTGGCTTCACTGGGTCGTTTCCTCCTGGTACCCAGTGGAGCCTCCGGCGGCCGGTCTACGGTCTCCGCCAGGCGCCACGTGAGTGGCACGACACACTGAGGACTACTCTTGCGGCACTTGGGTTCACGCCTTCTACTGCTGACCCGTCACTGTTTTTGCGCACTGACACTTCGCTGCCGCCGTTCTACATCCTCGTGTACGTCGACGACTTGGTCTTTGCCACTGCTGACACTGAGGCTCTCGCCCACGTGAAGTCCGAGCTGCAGAAGAGACACACGTGCACAGACCTGGGTGAACTGCGCAGCTACCTTGGCTTGCAGATCACCCGGGACAGAGCACGCCGCACCATCACACTGACTCAGTCACACATGGTGCAGCAGGTCCTTCAGCGCTTCGGCTTCACCTGGTCCTCAGCACAGGCCACTCCTCTGGCTATAGGTCACTCGCTCTCAGCTCTGCCTTCGGATGAGTCCGTAGAGCCGAGTGGTCCTTACCCAGAGCTAGTTGGTTGCCTCATGTACCTGATGACTTGCACTCGTCCTGACCTAGCATACCCTCTTGGCCTTCTGACCCGCTATGTGGCTCCTGGCAGGCACCGAAAGGTGCACTGGGATGCTGCAAAGAGGGTATTGCGCTACTTGTGCAGTACATCGGGCATGGGGCTCGTGCTTGGAGGAGGGAGCCCAGTTGTTCTCACTGGGCACTCAGACGCTTCTTGGGTTGACGACCAGGCTACTCAGCGGTCGTCACAGGGTTACACCTTCAGCCTTGGCTCTGGCTCAGTTTCTTGGCGTTCTACGCGTTCGTCTTCAGTTCTCAGCTCCAGTTGTGAGGCTGAGATCTACGCCACAGCCATGGCTGCACAGGAGTTACGCTGGCTCACCTACCTACTGACCGACCTGGGAGAGCGGCCTCGTTCTCCTCCAGTGCTGTACGTCGACAACAAGGCTGCCATTGCCTTGTGTGAGGAGCACAGACTGGAGCACAGGACGAAGCACATCGCTCTACGTTACTTTCTGGCTCGAGAGTTGCAGCAGCGTGGTCAGCTTCGTCTGCGTTTTGTGGCCTCTCAGGCCAACACTGCTGATATATTCACCAAGGCACTTCAGTCTGGTGATCATCAGCGTTTCTGCACTTTGCTAGGACTTGTGCCCACTTTTTCTCACTTGTTGTAGACCTTGCCTGTACTGTGATCTATACATCTATACCTGCATACTTGCTAGACATAGATCACTGTGATGTTTGTACTATATATATGCCTCTGCATGTGAACTGGCCTTGTGGTCCTTTGCTTGTGCTCAGAGTGTGTGGTGACATTGTGATCCACCCTGAGCTTGCTTTGGTTTTCTTGACTGGTCCTGTGACCCCTTGTTCTCCCCCACTTAGCCTATGGGGGTGTGTCAAACATTATATATGTTTCTGTTGTGTAGGCTACAGTGGGTTAGCCTTTAGGGGGTATATTTCACTAGGGTTTACTACTTGTACTCAAACAACTTTCTAGTTCAACACTTCTTGTTTCTGACAGTACACTAATTCCACATTGTTGTAACAAAACTAACACTGAAAGCAATTCTTACTTGTTCCGTTCCGTGTGGATTTGCCCGCAATTACAGGGAATCTTAGATTCCTGCGGTGCCAGCACTCCATTGGGCAGTTTCGCTGCAGCATGAAGTGTTGGCTAGTCAGAATGTGGCAACCATGTGGTGCTGGAGGGCTGCGAGGGTTCCTGCACCGTTGGCTGTGCTAGCAAGCACTGATGCTCCCATTCCCTCCAATCCAATCTCTCTTGTTTCTTTTCCTCCTGTTTCTCTCTCCCTCCCTCTCACCCCGATTTCTCTTGCGTTTTCTTGTCTGCACTAATACATGGCACCATCAGCACTAGAAACGGCGGGCTGTCAGGAATCGAACCCATCGCGAGCGCCGCCGAACCTCCTCTTGTCTTGCCGAACACATCGCTCCCGTTCGACGCGATCCGCAGCGCATGCTGCGAGATGGTCGACGGCCACGTGGCAATTCCCGTCGGCGTCGTAGGCCCACTACGACTCGACGACGCGTAGTTTTTCGTGCTAATGGCGACGACCGAAGGCAGCCTCGTCGCCAGCACGAACCGCAGTTGAAAGGCCATCTGCGCCGCGGGCGGCGCGCAGAGCGTCGTGCTGCGCGACGGCATGACCCGCACATGACCCGCGCGCACGCCGTCCATTCCCCCGCTCCCTTTATCCCGCACTCCATCCACTCCCTCTCTCCCCCGGTCGTCTCCCCCCCAACCGTGCTAGTCTTCCCTCCTCTCTCCCTGCCTCACCCTGCCTGTCAATCTGGTTCCTCCCCCAAACCCTGCCCCTGCAGCTTCAACGTGTATGTGTCGCAAGCAGAAGTGAAGCCGGGGTGTGTGCTGCGGCAGAGCACTGCCACGTACTGGTGTCCCAAGCTGAGGAGGAGAGAGAAGAACCAAAGGCTAAGGGCAGTGATGATAGCACGGCTGGTGATGATTCATGAGGCATGTTAGCTTAGCAATGCTTCGGAAGGCTGCTACTTACTTAGTATTTAAAATAGAGAATCTAATAATAACAACGTTTTATATTATTGAACACTGATGCATCAGCCTTTTTTCTAAGGCAACACTGATATTTCAGGCTTTTTTTTTTTGGAACACTGTCAATCAGGGTTTCTACACAGGGGTACACTGATGGGTCGACGACCCTAAAAGTGAATATGAGGCCTTGGCCGTTAGAGGAGCTTCTCTCCTTCTGCGTTGCCATGCCTTGTGATGTTGTGGGTGTCTTGATTGTAGTTGAATTTGTCCTGATAGCTCTCATACCATGTTGGGCTGAGAGAAGCCCTTAGGATCTTTGCAGGACTAAATTCTGAGTAGGACAATGTAATAGCGGAAGCGTTAAATGAGAACTTTGTGAACCACCTTGCGCTAGTATGTGAGGGCAAAAGTAGATTGATTAAAACAAAGGGATACAAGCTTTTATAAGAGTACAAGGAATACGAAGAGATACAGTTAATAACCGTTTTGCTGTTGCTGTTGCGGTTCGATACAGTGACGACTCGGGCAACTGCTCAATAGCGAGTCAGTTGTTTGTCCTTGCTGTCGCGCTGTATTTGTCAGGTCAAAAGTCGCTGACCTTTGACTTTCGCATAACCTCCAGCAGTTGTTCAACCTCCGAGGGTTGACTCGCTAATGCTTCGATATGTTTCGCTTCGCTTCTGACTTGGTGTTTCGACACGACAGAGGCGCTAAATCAATTGTTTCCAACAAAACAGTGGGTTATTGGTCAAGTGCATGCTGTTTGCAGATACTTTACACTCAAACGTATGGCCATGCGTTTGAAATTCCTAACGCTGGAGTACACACTACGTATTCATTGCCTTACATACCGTATTAAGCTCAAGATGAAATGAACCCCCTTACTTCAGATACTAATCAGTCGCAATAAGATAAGCACGCATCGAAGGCATAGTAGTAGCCCATGCTTCATCCACACCCATGCAACATTGCAGGTGCGCGGAGGAGAGGGCGGGCGGGCGGGCGTGTGCATGGGGCGGAGGTGCTATGCAGTACCCAGGTACTCCACGTCAAATATGAGGTCCGACCCCGGGGGGATGCGACACGTGCCTGATGCTCACACGCAGCATGGGGGCCGTGCGCGTGAGAGAGTAGGGGCACGAGGAAGGAGAATAGGAGTGAAGTAAGTGTCACATGAGATAACTGGGAGCAATGAGGTGAAGGAAAGGTGTGGCGATAGGTATCGTGGTTTGGAATGAAGTTGTGACGCACAGGAGGAGGTGCAGAGCAGAGGCATAAGAGGCAAGCATTTAGTGCATGAGGGAAGCAGCTCACCTCCCCTGCAGCCTGCCCCTCTGCTACCATAGGCGAGGTCCGCTGGGATGCGCAGCGTGCGCTTGCCCCCTGCCACACACATGCACACACGTGCACCGCATGGCACAGGGAAGCTTCAATGAGTGACGGGAAGAGAGGAGAGATAGAGAGAGGAGAGAGAGAATGGGAGAGAAAGGGGTGGAGAGAGAGTGAGAGAGAGGGGGGTGGAGAGAGAGAGAGATGAGAGCATGGGCAAACCGATGAGGCAGAGGGGATGGGGTTGACTGACCTGCTTTCATGGGCGGGATTCCTGGCCCTCCCAGAATGCCCAGGTCCCACCCTCGAATCACCTGCCACACAACACTCACACACGCCACCACCGCACGCACAGGGAGGAAGGGAGGCGCTGGGGTAAGAGGTGGGCGCGCACTGCGCTACCGCACAGCAGGGGAGCGGCCAGGGCAGCACAGCAGGGGTGGGAGAAGCAAGAGTGGGCATGCAATGATTGGGTGTGCAGGGCACTGACCTGCCCCACGCCCACACGGAACACCAGCGGCCGCCCGCGGTCGTAGCTGCTGTCGAACACCACGCCTGACAGCAGCCGCCCCGCGTAGTGCGCCTAAAGGGACACGGTTACAGGGCACGACGGGGGGAGGGGATGGGTTGTTGGCAGAAGCACGGGCAATGCCGTTAGCGTGTGTGTTGTACGAAACATTGCCACACGATCACACGAATCGGTGACTTGTGCCAAGACTCCTCTTTGCCTGCATCGCAGAGATGCCGCACGCATCTTCTTAGTGCGCGTGCCAGCGTCCCCGCCCATGGAGGCCCACCTGGATGCGCGTGCCGGCGCTGGCCTCGTCGCCCGTGCCCTCCACCTGGTCGCAGAACTGCAGTCCCGACGGCGTCTCCTGCAGCTCGCACTCCGCCGCCTGCGACGCGCCGGCCGCGCCGAGACTTGCGGCGGAAGCTGCGGCGAGCGCGCCGAGTAGCAGCGAGCGGCGGTCGCTCAGGCTGCTGGGCGGAGCTGGCGCGGGGAGATCCGCTGATGCTGCGCGCACGGGCTGTGGCGCTCGACGGGAAACGCCCAAAGGGGCGAGAGAGGCGAGGCGGGATAGAGGGAAGAGGGCAGTGGCGCGCATATGGGGAAGATCGGCGGGGCGCAAGCGGGCGGAGAGCGCGCCAGGGACGATGGTGGTGGGTGGCGCGAGCAGGTGCGAGGCGGCCATGGTTGGCGCTGCGGACAGTACGCTGTGCACAAGAGCGGAAAATCAGCCGCACTCGCTCAGTGGGGCAATGCGGGCAAGGCGAGCAAGAGCGTGGGATGAAAGAAAAGACAGCTGTTTGCACCGCCCCAACCTGCCAAATGTACCGAACCCAAAATGTCTTCACGGGTTGCATCAGCATGGGCAACCACCCACGCAGGTGGCACTAGCGCCCATGGCCATGGTGCCACCCAGCCTCGTGCCCCACAGACATCAACACAGAGACACAGACACCCACACCACCGGCAGGCATCGCGGCCAGCACACGTCACGGATCGTCGCGTGAATTGTCGCACGGCGTCCTCGTAGCTTCGTCGCATCGACGCCTTGATCGTCGCGTGCCCCGCCGCACACCATGATGCGCCCAGCAGGTCCTCGCGTTCGCCGTCCACCGTGACGCCCGCGCGCGCCACCCACAAGCTACGCGCTTCTACACACTCGCCCCTCCATCCACGTCAGCAGCAGCACGAGCCCCTCGCGCTCCGTAATTGTCCCTCGCCAACGGGCGTCGGTAGTTGTTCCCCGGCCCTCGGAGGCCACAATTCAGCAAATGGCTGCGGGCTCGCCGCCTCGCACGCCGCCGGATGCGGTCGACGCACCACCGCAGCCGGCAGAAGAACCTCTTCACGCGCTGCGACCCCTCAAGCCGCCTTCCGCCTCGGAGCCGCGCGAAGACGGCGTCGCGCTGGACAGCGCTAAGGTGCTGCGCTCCCCGCGATGGACGGCGGCGCGCGTGGGCAATCTGGCGCTGCTGGCGGTGTGCTTCGCGCTGGGGTGGGCGGCGCTGTTCGTGCAGGTCGCCACCACCACCGTCGCCGCCAGGCAGTGGGGCGGCACTGCCTTCAGCACCGTGCCTTACGGTGCGTCTCCGCCGCTTTCAGCGTGTGGGATAGAGCACTCGCGGTCAGCGCGTGTTGCGCTGGACCTCGCTGCTCTACCCGTCACCCGCTCTCTCACTGCTTTCCGCGCCTCCCGCATCCCCTCCCCTCTCTTTCCCCGCTCCCAGGCGTGTTAGCGGCGGCGCATGCTCTCTGGGCGCTCCCCGCGCAGCTGATCATCCGCGCATCGCGTTCCGCGCGCCCCTCGTTCATCGCGGGGGGCGCGCTGGGCGTCCTAGGAAACGCACTCTTCGCGGTCGCTGCTGGCCTCGCGCACGACTCCCCTTCCTCCTCCTCCGCCTCCCCCGCACCCCCCACGCAGCCCGCCCCCATGGCGCTGCTGTGCGCGGGCGCGCTATTCGCGGGGCTCGCGAACGCGTACATCAACTTCCTGCGCTTTGAAGCCGCGCGCTTCGCGCCCTCCGCCGCCCACCTGCCCACCGCGATCTCCGCCGTGGTGGCAGGGGGCGTGGTGGGCGGCGGCATGGGGCCCATCATCAGCCGCGTGACACGTGGCGTGATCCCAGGCCACGAGTTCCTGGCGACGTACCTGGTGTCGTGTGGACTGTTCCTCCTGGAGATGCTACTCGTCGCACTCATCCCACTCCATGGGGGGGGCGCGCGCGCACGCCACCAAGGCACGCGCGGGGGAAGTTGTGGTAGCGCTGGTGATGGCGCGGGGAGCGCGAGTGGGGACAAGGAAGAGGGTGGGCTTGGAGACAGGCCGGGTGAGGCTGATGATAGAGACTGTCGGGAGGAGGGAGGGCGGCAGGAGGCGGAGGAGAGAGCGGTGATTGTAGGAGATGGGATTGGACAAGAGGGCGGAGAAGGTGTTTCCAAGGCCAGGAGCAGCAGCGGGTGTGAGGCTGGAGGGGGCAGTGTGGGCGAGGGGCTAAAGAAGGGCGGAGGGAGGGTGGGTGACGGACAGTGCACGGGCATGGGAGGCGGGTGTGATGGTGATGGGAAGGAAACAGAGAGGCGAGAGGTGGAGGCAGGGGCGGGGCAGGAGGATGGTGAGGCGGTGGTGGTGCTGGTGGGCGCAGGGAGGGGAGGCGAGGGCAGTGAGAGCACAGCAGCAGGGGAGGAGGAGCAGGGCAGGAGGCGGTGGTATGAGGTGATGCGACAGCCAGGCGTGGTGGTGGCTGTGGCAGCAGCGACGGTGGCGTATGCGGGCATGGCGACCATCATGCTCACTGCCGTCATTGCCATGCTCGCCGTGCAGCCAGGTGCGTGCACGTGCTGCCAGGGGACGTGGGAGCCTCATGCTCGCACCTCACACTTGCACATTCCTCAGTGCAACAGTCTCTTTGTCACTCTGGGCACATATGCTTCGCATTGATAATGTGTTTGTGCGTGCAGGCACAGGCGATGTGGACCTAGAGGGCCAGTTGGGGGCAGTGATATCGTTTGCCGACACCAGCAACGTCATTCTCGTGCATGTCGAGGTCAGCACCCTCCCCCCACTCCCCATCACAGTTACTCTACCTCTCGACGCCCTCTCACCACTAGCTACCTCGCACCTCCACCCTTTCCACCCTGCCATCAGCACCTGTGCCCATTCCCTTGCCCTTTTTATCTTCCTCCGTGTGTCCCCTCGGTGTCCCTCTCCCCCGGGTGCAGGCCATGTTTGTGCCGTCCTTCTTCACGCCGGCCATCATAGCAGCCCTGGGCAGTGACGGCGCCATGCTGCTGGGATTCGTGGTGCTGCTCGCCTCGCAGCTCGCGCTGCTCGCAGGCACCACCCTGCCGCTCTTCTTCCTCTGCCTCGCCCTGCTGGGCCTCGGCTGGAACCTCGCCTTTGTGGGCGCCACGGCCCTGCTCGCCACCACGTACCGCCCACACGAGAAAGACATGGTCCACCCCTGGCCTTGCCCTCCCTACTCGTGCCCTCCTTTCCTTTTTCCCTAGCCGTCTGTCTCATTGCACACACCTCATGCCGAGGAAACCTTGTGACCCTGCCACCCCTTCTACCTCTTGCTCCTTGTCTACCTTCTTCACCCCTGCCTCCTCTGACTGCATCCCTCCTTTCCCCCCACTCTGATTTCTGACCCCATACGGAGAGCAGGTGCAGGGCATCAACGATGGCATAGTGTTTGGAGTGAACACCATAGTGGCGTCCACGGCCAGTCTCGTGCTGCAAACCATCAACAGCTGGCCCACCTTCCTCCTCATCTACTCCCTTGCCTCCTCCCCTGCCCTCTTCCTCACTCTCGCCTTCTGGCTCGCGCGGCGCCACTTGCTGCCATTCCATTGGCCAGGAGTCACCCCCTCTGTTCCGCGCCTCTTGCCAGCACCATCATGTGCGCCCCCACCCGGGCATACACATGGTGCATGGGGAGGGAAGGGGAAGCAGCTGGTGAGGTCACTGTCGCAACGGCTTGGAGTGAGTGGGAGGGTGGCGGTGGCGGGGATGAAATGGGGATAAGGGTGTCAGAATACTGAACGAGAATGAATGCATTGACAAGAAACTGAGTACAAGTACTAACCCTACCGTAATTGGATTGTATCCTTTATGGGCTACCCCACTACAGCCTACACAATATAAACATTAGAACTATTTGACCAAGAGCATGTTCCTACGACCCCTTATCAGGGACACCTCGTATCAACTTCGCATTTTTGCCTGGTAAAATTCGCGAATGTTTTTGGGTTTAGGGAAATTTCAGTGTGTTGTGACGCGAGCCTGATAAGAGGTTGGCCTGATAAGGGGCCATAGGAAAATGCCCTAAGACGAGCAGATGCTGTACGGATCAAGAGGCCGAGCTATGAAGGCAATACTTGTTGGTGCAATGTTTAGATCAAAAGCAAGCCGTCTCTGACGCAGCCTGACAGGCAGCGCTTTCCGCCAAATTCACACAAAATTACGGTACTGTATGTTCATACGTGCAGTGTGCATGTGCCTCGCCGCTATCACTTGTTTGTGTGAGGGTTTAGTGTGTGCCTCCTCACCAGCTGCACCTCACTCTCACTCAGCGCTGTGAACGAGGGCTTGGTCTGTAGAAGGCAAGTCCTCATAAGAACCACCGCACGGCACACCATGGGGCAAGGCATCATGCCACCCACAGCATGTGCGGGAGGACTCTCTGTCCTGCTTGGGTGTTTGTGCTCCGGTGCCTTCCAGGCTGCCTGCCCTGTGCCCACCCTTCCCATGTGTTCTACAACATGCGAATCCAACCCGCCACAGCACAACACCTAACCACAGCACATCAAAGAAAAGCTAAGCAAGCACACATCAAATAAAACCAAAGCTAAGTACAGCTACAGATAGCTAAGGACAGCAGCGGCCCATCTTGAGCTCGTGGAGGTTCACCACCATTCGGCACGCCATGTGTCCTCTCTTTTCCTGCACATCACCACAACAGAGCCACTTATCCACTGTCAGTGAGCTGGCAATCGGACATGGAAAAAAGCGGTTGAAAGATATTAGACAGCCAATTACAAGCTGGAAAAGAGCATATCAACAGAAGTGAAGCTGATTGAAAGACACAAAATAGTTGTGTGAATCGAGTTGATGTTAAAAGACCTTTGTGAAGCAAGAACTAAGTGGGAAATGTACAATAGCAAGGCCAGCAACTCCCCCCCTGCAGAACCTCCCATCACCTACCATATAGAATATGCAGCACTGCTGTTGCTGCCACTGCTTTCCCCGCGACTGTTGTCATAGACAGGAATGGGTGATGGAGAGGGGCGAAAGGTGAAGGCAGCATATTCAAGGAGATGGGACACAGAAAGAGAAGAGGACTAGCAACATACGGAGAAGGATGACGGGAGACGAGCAAGCCATCAAAGCCTAGACAACAATGCAAGGAATAATAACCAACCAACAGTTGGAGGGAACTCCTAAGCATTAGGGTAAGATGTACTCACCCCTCCAGTGCTGCAGAAACAATCATTGCAGCGGCCATTGATGATGCAGCTACTGCTGCCACCACTGCTGCTGCTGCTGCTGCTGCTGCTGCTGCTGCTGCTGCTGCTGCTGCTGCTGCTGCTGCTGCTGCTGCCACCGTTGCTGCCTATACTAATGGTGCCAGATTAAAGGTTTTTCCCTTCCGGTGATGGAAGAGAGGAGAGCAGATAAGGGGAGCGGGCAGAAAGGAGGGGATTGAGGGCTGAGCAAAGGGGCATGCGAATCTGGCAACACAGTACAATAGAAAATACATATAGGCACCGTGGAAAGATGGTACAACAAAAGCATGAAACGGCAAAAGTACACTTCTTCATCTTCACTGCTGCTGCATCTTCACTCACTTTACCTCTTGCACTGGGTAAGCAGCCTCCCAAAGAACAATCTGCCACGCATGCAGAGCATGGAGGCAGAGCAACTACCGTAAGAGTACAGAGGAGAAAATACTTACCTGGAAAGCCAATGCACCGTTACTGCCTCTTCTCCTCGCTGGACAGCTGTCTCTCGTGCGAGCCAGCAACGGCAGCCCCGTCCATTCCCCTTCCACTCGCTGCCACTCCCGTCCGCCTCGCAGGCCGTGAGGCACACACACGCATGGGGAGGGAGACAGGCACACAGAAGCGGCGCAACAAGGGAGGGTTAGAAGCAGCAGAAGGCGAAAGGTGGAGCAACAGACACGACTCTTGCCTCTGCGCGGCGACGCCCTACGACTCACTTCACTGGCCCCCTGCGAGCAACCCCTGGCACGTACCACGCTCCGTCCGCCGCTCTGCCACTCCTGCGCCATGCCTTCACTTCAGGCGTGCTGCTCCTGGTTGCCTCTCGTGCGAGCCAGCAACAGCAGCCCCGTCCATTCCCCGTCCACTCGCTGCCACTCCCGTCCGCCTCGCAGGCTGTCAGGCACACACACGCACACGCATGGGGAGAGAGACAGGCACACAGAAGCGGCGCAACAAGGGAGGGTTAGAAGCAGCAGGAGGCGAAAGGTGGAGCAACAGACACGGCTGTTGCCTCTGCGCGGCGACGCCCTACGACTCACTTCACTGCCCCTCTGCAAGCACCCCTACGCGGCTGTGTCCTACGCGATGACGTAAACAGCAGCGACGCTGTAATGACGACGAGACACAGCAATGCCGCTAAACTTTCTCCGACACTGCTGCTCACTGGAGACGTCTGATAAGCGACTTCGCAATGGCGACGTGACACAGCAATGTCGCAACGACGGTTGAAGCACCCGTGGCGTTGACTTGGCGGCTTTCAATTCGTCTCAGCTGGAACGCCGACTGAACCAGCAACTTAACGCCTTAACGTCGTACCCGCCTTAACTTGGGATCAAATCCAAAGTAACAAACGTACGATCCGTCTCGTCTGAACCAGCAACTTAACGTTGTATTCGCCTTAGCTTGGAATCAGATCCATCGTAACTGACTACAATAATTTCTTATCTAAGAATCCCACTTCGCCACGACTTGACACCGACCTAACTACATTAGGCTTAGATTGGCATTCATATAGCTATCAGCTGCCACACACAGTGGCGGCTAATGTCCTGTGAGCAAACTTGACGTTAGTGCAGGTACATGAGAGAGCTTTAGGCTAGTGTGACAAGCAGCTCACATAGTTGACCTGGAACTCAGAGAGGAGGTAGGAAAACGGCAGGCCTGTAAGATAGTGGAAGTGTGGAGCAATGAAGCGAGAATGGAGGTGAGGAGAGGAGAACCTTTCATTGATGCCGCCGTGGAGAAACCTAGCTGAGATTCCCCATCAACGCTTCAAGTGGAAGGCGGCAGAGCGGCGGAATTTCGACAAGTTTCGTTCCATGCCAATTTGGTTCACGGCCTGCGAAACCTAGAGCCATTTCATGTGATTCAGCAGGAGCTCAATAGGGGTGAGGTTCGGATCATCAGTGCGAAGCATGGATTGGCTGGCCGAAGCAGTTGCCGTCAGTCGCCGTGGCAAAGCTACTAATTGCTACAATGTAAAAAAAACAGGGTTCATACACATAATACTAGCAAGACAAGCAATATTGACAAAATGCATAGAAATGGATGCTAGAGCAGCCACAAGTGTCCAGCCCAGACTGCAAGGTTCCTTCCTCGCATACTGAAGGAGCGAGCTAACATGAGCACACTGCAGAGCAGAGATTGCTCCTGCATGGGCAGCCATGGCGGCTCATGTATGTGCAGGTGGACGCTGCCACTTTAGGGAAGCGCACCTGCGCAAGGGGACAGGGCCTATCAACAAGCAACACTACCTAATGTACCGTATGAGCCTCATGAGCGATAACCTAGTAATATACACCGCCACATCGCCTCTCTAGTCCATGCGCCACTGTCGAGCACGCACCCTTTGCTCCTCCTCTATCTCAAGCTACCTGCAGCCATGGTTACAGCTGCCCCTGCTGCACGCCGTGACACTACTTCCACACACACCCGCTCAAGCCATCTCCCGCGTGCCTGGCCTCGCCCGTGCAGTCAGTCCCTGATCTTGCGCGCCGCTCGCTCAAGCCACTGTTCGAGGAAGGCGGCCATGTCGAGCCAGCCGTTGTAGCGCCCGCCGCAGTGCGAGAGCCAGAGGTCCATCACCTCCTCCTGCTGCGCCGACGGCAGCGTCAGAATCACCTGCCCCAGCATCTCGCCCAGCAGCCGCCCCCGCTCGCGCGAGAACACGGCGGGCAGGCGGGGAATGGTGGTCAGCACGGGCAGCCACAGCTTCACGAGCGCCGCGCGCGTGTTTGTGGGGATGATGGCGTGGCCTCCCACCATCAGGGTTAGTAGCCGCAGAATAATAGGGAGCAACGGATCGTACATGGCGGCTTCCGCGCGATTGTCTCTATGGGTAAAGTACTCGACGTGTCGCACGAAGCCTTGGTCCTCGCTGAGCCACTTAATTATGTACTCCGCAAACCCTAACCGGTCCACCATGGTTCCCATGAGCCAAGCCACGTTGTCCATTTCAACTGCGAATTTCGCGGCGAGCTCCTTGGACGACTCGGCCGCCATGTCCACGAAGTGCATCACGCCGCCTCCCCCGGCCGCCTCCTCCACCACGCACGCCTGAACGCGGTCTATTAACTCGTCCAGCTGCTCGAATAGCACGCGCTTCCGCACCTCGGCGCGCAGCGAGCCGCTCGTGAAGAGCTTTTCCACGGAAGCGCGCCACATGGCCTTGGACTGCGGGTCCGCTGGAGGCACTGCGTCCGCGCGCGCCACGGCCTGAGACACGAGCTTCTTAAGAACGTTATAGACCGCTTCGGCGCTTGTCGGTCCGAGACGCGCCAGAACACGTAGTCCGCCCTTGGTTTGGTCCATGCCGAGGCGCGCGAGGACATTAACTACCTCAACCTCCTCGTCTGTGGACCACGGCACGGCCTCCAGGTATCGCAAGCAGGCGTTAATACCGTCGTCGAATTGCAGGTCTGCGGCTACCTGAAGAATCTTAAGAGCCTTGCTGACGCTCGTTATTTCCGCCTTAGGGTCCTTCCCGTCCAACAATCGTAGCGTGGCTTCGTACGAGCTGACGTCGGCGACGTAATCGCTTACCATGAGCTGAACATGCGGCTCCTCCGCCGGCGTGCCGCTGCCGCTTGACACGCTGCCGGCGACTGAGCCGGAAGCCGCGGATGTCTTGGCAGAGGCGGAGGAATGCAGGGGAGCGAGAGCGGGGGAGGCGTTGGTGGAGCTGATGGAGGTGGCGACGAGGTCGTTCCAGTGGTCCGAAAGCGAGTCTGCCAGCAGCTTGCTCTCTGCTAGCGCCGTGTCGGAGAGAGACATGGAGCAGATAGCCCTACTGCCGCCTTTCTCGCACACGGACACGCGAATTGACTTGCGGTGCTGTTGTAGCGGGTTCTTGTGACGCGACTCTAGCTCCAGCGGAGCCATTGTTTCACTAAGGGTTTGGCGTTTGGTGTCGGCTTTTGGGATTGGGGACGCCATGGTGGAGGAAGACCAGAAGGTCGCTGGTTTCATAAACTACATAATGCAAGAATGGTGGACGATGTTTGAGGAGACGCAACAAACGAAATCCTTGAAAAGTGATTGATGGATGAGATGATACAGTTCATGGCATGGCAAGCACGAGTCTTGCGGGACTTGGATGGAAGTGGACGGAGAGGTGCTCTGCTGCTGCTCTGCTCCCTCCTGCAGCCGATGGCTGTGCTGGCAGAGGGCTTCGCGGCCGCAACTGGGACAAACCGGGGGGACCGACTGGCGCAACCAGGCATGCCTCTCGGGGGAGGTTGGGCGTTCCCCATGGACTGACCGACTAGCTGAGGCCAATCGCATCAGCGCGCAGCAGCCTATCGCGCAAGCTTGGCAAGATCTCCGTGTGCCTTCGCAGCACCACACCACCCTCGATCCGAACCACATCAGCTCTGGCTAGCTGACATGACGGGCTTGAGGCTGTCGTGTGCCGAGAGACGCGGTGGTTCGCGAAAGTTTTCGCTTGCTGCCTGGATGCTTCGCGAAGCCTTGGCAGTCATGATCACCAACCATGTTCACCGCAATATCTAGGGCCGCCAACAAAGCAAGGCGGCTCGTTTGGTTCGGAAAGACCGTCTGGTTACTAGCCGTCCCGTAACAAGAAAAACAATGAATTCTCAGTGTTATACTAATTAAGCACCAGCCTTTGGTTCGGAAGAATCACAAGACAACAGAATCTTTGTCAGAATCCTCTTCCCCGTCTCCTCATCGCTATAACTGAGCTCATCACAAATTATAAAGTCGTAAAACAGCATCCACTTTATCACACTCAAACCACAACACGCATCACAACCAAACATGCCTTACAAAACCTAGTAATCGATCAACTTCATGCCTCCTTTTGGACCAGTCCAGCTGCAGCAATCTGCTTTCTGGCTTCTTCACATTCGTCTTTGAGCCTTTGGTGAACAGCCTTCAACGCTTTCAGCTGTTCCTCTGCTCTTGATGCTTGTTCCAACACACTTCTGTTTGTCTGGCGAAGCTGTGAAGCCTGAAAGAAAGCACATGGCTATGTCATGATACATTAACAGGGACCCAACAAAGTTGCCAGATATGTCCACCTTTGAAACAATGTAGCCAACCGCACACATACTCAAGAAGCAAATACAAAGGATTCTGAGCCCCTCACCTCTTCATGAAGCCGCTCCATCATATCTTGTCGGCGCATTCGACTCCGTCGAGCCGATTCACGATTCGACTCCTTTCTGCAGTGCAAAGCAAATCGTGTTGTGTGTTAAGATTCTTGCTGTTTATGTGAACACGGGCAGTAAAAAGGCCAGTCTTGGCTCTGATTCTGACGACTGAAAGAGCAACATCTCACCTTTTGAGTTCCTTTTCATCGCCTGAACTTGCATGGTCTCCCTTAGCTGCCAACTTTTGCTCCGTGACCTGGTGAGGCGCATCTTGTCCCGCTTCTGTGTCCCGATCTCTTGCAGCAAGCTTGTCAACAGGACTAGGTGCTGCTCTCTCTGTGAACTCTGCAGCACCACCATCTCTGTGCTGCCAAACAAGACCCCCTGCTGGCGACCCAGTAACACCAGCATGCACATTTGCCTCCCATGGCAAAGCACGGTCCATTATCGGAAAAGGCACAGAGTACGCATCCACTTCTTGCGGCTGCTGGTGCTGGTTCAGCTGCCAATGCAGGGGCTGAACGTGGCAGGAGGGCGTCGAGAGCCATGGGGGGAGCCCAGCACTAGCCGCTGCTCCTGGCATGGACAGCCATGGGCCTGGGATCTGCCCCGGTTCAATGTCTTCCCTATCCCATGTCCTCCCCGCACCACAAGTGCATCCCTCCTCCTCGCTACTCCCGCACTCTAAACCAACAGATCCTACTCGGGACCCACACCCCATCATACCCGCGTTCACGCCCATGCCCATGCCGAGTATGTGAGGGTAGGGAGCTACCTGGGGTGGTGCAAGCGGCGGCGAGTGGAGGAAGCGCGCAGTGGCGCATGCCATGGTGGGCAGCTGGCGGGCGGACAGGGGAAGCACGGCCTCCAAGTCCGGACTGCTGCTGCTGTTGCCCATCCCGTCACCAAGCCTCGCCCAGTGGGGATCAGCTGCAGCTGCGGCAGCTGAAAAGGGCGAGGCTGCAATGGTAGATGGAAGGTAGGTTGCAAGGGGCGGCATACAGGGGGCGCCGTGCATGGAGTCGGGCGGCGGGCAGCAGCACGGAGAGCGCAGCGATGAGTAGCCGTTGGCGTCCACCTCGTCACAGTGACACGGGACGACTGTTTCCACCAATGGCGACGGAGTCGGAGGAGATCTGGCGGGAGATGTCAGTCGAGGTGCGCCGAAGTGGGCGGGGGTTGCGGCAACACCTGGCGAGCAGCGAGATGGCTCGTGGTGCGCTTGATCCGAAGGAATGGCGATACCAGCAGAAGAACGAGTGTGGGGAAGGTTGGCTCGCGTGGGGTGCGGAAGAGGCGGGGCTCCGCGATGCGGCGACAGTGCGCGTGTGTGCTCCAAGTGCAGCTTACTACCAGTAGTGCACGGTTGAATTGCCAGCGCGGCGACTTCTCCTTTTCGTGGTCTGGAAACACGTGAAGGAGGGGCACAGGGGTGCAGAGGGGGGGAAGGTCAGTGGGAGTCGACTGAGAAATGGCAAAACAGACGCTAAGGCTGTTGCGTACAAGAAGCAACATCGGAAATAAAGTCAAAGGACAGATGTTATACTTTTTGGTGGGAGGCGCTGTTTTGAGCCCGATGACGCATTTGATGTCCGCCATGGTCAGCCGCATGGACGCGGGAAGCGGCCGAGGACGACAGCTCGACGGCCTGTCGGGAGCTGTGGTAATGGCTGCGATACCCTTGCTCGTGTCACTGGGGTGCGTGCCAAGAGCGCGCTCCACGTCGTTCGCAATCGGACTGCCGGCGGACAACCGCGGGTTTGTGCCTTCTGTGCATTCCGTGCAGGCCCCGCAATTCTCAGGTGGCGACCCCCTTTGAATGGGGAGGCGAAGCGTGGGTGCAGAAACGCCGCGCTCGCCGTCGCAGCAATCACTGCTGCTCGCGCCGGAGTTGGTGTCACCAGGGAACGGACGCCGCTTGCGAGACGACACGGCAGTCACAGGAGATTTTGAGAGACCCGCATCATCTTGCGACAGAAGCTCCTCGCCACCGCTGGTCGACATCAGGGGGTCGTTCGAGCAGAAATCCGCATTAGGCTTTTCTTCTTCCAGCGCCTTCATGGCATCCGAGATGCATGTGTAAGGAGATGAGGGTGGGAATAGGGATGGCAAGGACTGGGTGAGGGCGGAAATGGGCGACGACGGGCACCAGTCGAAGCATGCCAAGTCATCGCAAGTCCCTGTCGACGGAGCAAGCATGGCAGGCTTTTCGGCGTGATAAAATGCCTTCACAAGCATCAAATGGCTCTCCGTTAACGCGGTAACGGACGCAGATCTGATCGTGTTGGGATCAGACGTAAACTGCACTTCCTCCTCGGGCACATCTACCCCAGCTCGCTGGCCTTCAGCTGCCAACGCCATTTCACGGGTTCGCATGCAGCGTGTAGATTTAGTCTAGCAGCTGAAGTGGAGCAGCTAACGAAAAAATCGAAGGGTTGTATGAAATGAGCTGAGAAGTGTATTTCATCCTGCAGCGAGTGTTGGATGACGAACAGTTTGTATGAAATCATGAACCCCCCTGCGCAAACAGAAGCGCCCGCCCTCACTCATCCCTCCGCGGCCCACCCACACACCAAGTGCTTCCGTTCCATCAGTTCGCGGGATGCTTCGCCCAACATCTGTGGGGGATGACGTATGTGGACTGTGCGGGCAAGAGAAAACAAACGTTTTTCATGCCCTACGCAACGCCAAGCTTCTCCTTGCAGCTCAAAAAGTGCGGCACCGTTTCATCTTGTGGTCGGTGTATTGAATTCGCCTGCCCAAAACAGCCTAGTCAATGGCACGCGATCTTGTTCAGGAAGAGTTTCAGCCGTGGCGCCACTGAAATGGAAGAGTTTCAGCCCCTAACAAGAAGCTAGGTCATCAAAGACAGATTTCTCCAGAGCTGACGCATCAAACAGATTTGGCCAGCATAGACATTTTTTGTGGCTGGAGAAAAACGTTCAACCACAGTGAAAGCGTGCCGTCAACGCGCCTTGGCACTCGTGTCGGGTTTGTGCTGGGAACAACTTTCTGCAGAACACCACAAATGAAGGTTTCCGGGCTTTTTAAAACCTTCACAGAGGTAGGCCCACCGAGAATGGTACAAAGGTTTCAGGCGACACCATGTCTGGTATGTAATATTACATCTAGCACTAGCACACCCAAAAAAAAACCTTGGAGGCTGGGAACAAACCAATGATTGTGCTGGTTGTCGCACAATATTTCATTGGTTTGTCCCAAATGACGTGTACATCTGAGCTGGGAAAAGCCAGAAAAGGGAAGACTGACCATCATTTTTCAGAAGCTAGAAGTCCAACCCAAACGAAACTCACCTTAGTGTCGCTTGCTCATTACATAAACGTAGACTGTCTATGTTGAAACATGTGTACAAGCTGGTATGACAAAAAAAAAAGGCATCACACATTAAAACCCGCGGGCCAAGAAGTTCAACATTAGGAAGGTTGGTTGGGGCAAGCAATGCAATTGGCCAAGATTTTGGGTGTCAGGGCCAAACTCAACCGAAGTTAGGAAGGTTGAACCAATTCAGGCCTTCTTGGCCCTCCGGTCTTAACACCTCCTACAGCCACGCTGCTTGTTAATTCCCGGACGTGAGGCTTCCCACTGCCACCGGTTCTAGTTTTGAGGCAACTCAAAAATAGTGTCCTGGTGCAGCCTCATGCTTCCAAAAGTCTCTAAGCGTGTTAGCATCACTCCAACGGCCTCACAGATGCAATGGCATTCTGTATTGTGCGAGCCAGTGTATGCAACTGGAATGGCTTTGTATCGTATCCATCCATGCCAGCGGTTAAGCATTTCTCCTTGTAGCCTTGCATTGCGTGTGCTGTCAGCCCAACGATTGTGATGTGACAAGTGCTCTGCTGCTGCTGATGCTCTGATGCTTGTCCGATTGGACTAGGTACGGCACCGGGCAAACTTGAGACCTGCTGCTCCCACTGTCGAATCGTGCGAGTGGCTTCGATACCATCCATGATAGGCATCTGAGAATGATTGCCACACACATGGGTGACACGTGCAGCATTGTAATGGGGGATGGGGAGGTGGGGAACAAATCAGGGTGGAGGAAATGAAGATCTAATGGCATCAGCACGCAGGGGGTAGATCACACGGTGACTTGTGCCGGACGAATCAAGGGTGGACGTGAGAGGCAGGCAGAGAGACGGATGACTAGAGCGAGAAAGAGGAGAAAGAGACAGGTGAGCGAGGGGCGGAGACATGCAGTAGAGGGACGGACGGGAGAGAGCAAGGGGAAGAGAGAACAAGGGGGGAGTGAGAGCACAGGGGGAAGTGAGAGCACGGGGGGAGTGAGAGCAAGGGGGGAGTGAGAGCAAGGGCAAGAGCAAGGGGGGAGCGAGAGCAAGGGGGGAGCGAGAGCAAGGGGGGAGCGAGAGCATGGGGGTAGTGAGAGCACGGGGGGAGTGAGAGCAAGGGGGGAGTGAGAGCAAGGGGGGAGTGAGAGCAAGGGGGGAGCGAGAGCAAGGGGGGAGTGAGAGCAAGGGGGGAGAGAGAGCAACGGGGGAGTGAGAGCACATGTAACAGCCCCACCTGAATATCCATGAGAACCACATGGAATGCATCATGGGCGGCAGTGACGGCATCCACAGCAGCCTTGCCATCACCCACCACCGTGACCACAGCGCCTGCCTTGCGCAGCAGGTGCATTGCCACCTTCTGGTTCACCACGTTGTCCTCCGCCAGTAGAATGCGCATCCCCGATAACGTCTCCACCCCGCCACCCCCCGCCGCCGCCTTGCTCGCACCCCCACCTCTGCTTCTCGGCCCTGCCTCGCCTGCTGTGTCCATACCCCTACCCCCTCCTGCCTTTCCCAGCACCGACTGGTCAGCCCCTGCAGTGCTGTCCTCACTGCTTCTGCCACTCCCGGCAGAGGTGGAGGAAAGGCGAGCACAAGGAGCAGGGGAAAGAGCAGCAGGAGTTGGAGTGGATGTGAGGGGAGGAGGATTCTGAGGCTTGTTATGTCCTGGGTCATGCATGTGCGATGCAGCTGATGCTGGTGCTGGGGGCGGCACAACCAATGCTGCTGCACCCGGTTCTGCTGGGACGGTATGAGGCAGAGCAAGTGAGCCTGGGGGGATGGAGGCAGTGCCTGGGCGATGAGAGGAGGGCGGCGTGGGCAGTGATGGAATGAGGACTGCATGGGGTGCAACACATGAGACAGAGGCAGACAAGGTGGTGGCCATTTGGCCAGAGGAAGCAGGGGTGGTGGTGGTGGTGGCGGCGGAATGGACACAGGAAGGGGTGGAGTCAAACGGTGCGCCTGGTTGACTCGAGGCAGCAGCAGCAGCATTAGTAGGCGGGGGTGGGGAGTAAGGCTGAGGTGTCACGGCTGAGGCGGAAGGAATTTGAGAGTGGGGAGGCGACGAGGTGGCGAGAGGAGGGGAAGGAGAGAAGGCGATCAATAAAGAGGAGCTGGACGGGGCACGAGAGGTGTCACCGGGTTGTGGGCAAGCAGGTGGGGACGCATTGTGCGGCTGAGTGGGTTGGGGCATGGAGGAGGCGGGTGCAGAGGGGTGCGAGGAGGGCAGGGAGAAGAAGCGCGCAGTGAAGGTGAAGGTGGAGCCTGCTCCGAGCTGGCTCGCCAGGTGTAGCGTGCCGCCCATGAGCGATACCAGACTGGCAGCACACACACAGGCACGGGCAGGGACAGAGGGGTCAGAGGGGGGTGGGGCGAAAAGGGAGAGGACGGTCAGAGTGTGGCCACTGGGGCATGCAATGCAGTGTGGAGGACTGGACGCAAGGCATGTGCGTGAGAAGTTTCACACGCACACACATGCATGCATGCACATATGAGGCGAGGAGCGTGCTCACTTGTGCACGATGCTGAGGCCCAGGCCGGTGCCGCCATAGATGCGCGTGGAGGACGTGTCGGCCTGCACAAAGGGCTTGAATATCTCGCCCTGCACCGCCCGCTCTATGCCGATGCCCGTGTCCCGCACCGACACCTGCACCCACACCTCCTCCCCCACTTCCTCCGCCTCCCCCTCTTCTTCCTCATCCTCCTCTTCCTCCTCCTCCTCCTCCTCTTCCTCCTCGTCTTCTCCTTCCTGGTCGTCCTCTTCTGCCTGCTGTGCAGCATTCCAGGGCTGCCTCCGTGAGTCGCCACCGACCTCAGGAGAAGGGTTCAGCGCACTGACAGCAGAGTCGGTGTAAGCGTGGTGCACGCAGGGGTCACACGGCAGGGACGGCATTGAGAGCAGCGGTGCAGGGCAGTGCAGTGGGGTGGTGGGCCCTTGAAGAGCCGCTGCTGCAGGCACGGCAGCACCGAGGAACGGGGACGGTGGGGCTGACTCTGCACTCCCAGGTGCACCAGGGTGGGCAGCCGAGGGCGGTAGGGTGAACGCCCTGTGTGCCTGGCCTGATGGTATGCCAGTGAGCAACGGTGGTGATGCTGCTGCTGCCGCCGCCTCGCCGTGCCAACAGCCATCAGCATGGCAGCACCTGGCAGGCGAGGGCCACACGCCACTGTCCGCCACTGCACCCCACTCACCGCCCACACCCGCCTCCCTCTCGCCCACCCCTGAGCCACTACCAGCGCCAGCACCAGCAGCGTCGGGTCTGATAGCGCTGACCCCTCCAATGAACTCCATGGAGCTCCCAGCGCGGCTGCACAGCTGTCGTGCCAGCGCCAGCACCTCTGCTCGCCCACGCCCCCGCAGCATCTCCTCCCACCGTGCCGACTGCCCCCCTACCCCCTCCTCGCCCCACGGCTGCACGCGGCCTCCCCCATACCCCTGCGCGCCCCTGCCCGCCCCTCCGGACCCTGCCAGGCGCCGCTTCACCTTGGTCCCTGTAGACGCGCGGCGCAGCACCACTGCTGCTGCCGGATCCTCTTCGTCCCCTGCGTGCCCTGCACTGTCGTGTGGGTCCGCAGGCGCAGCAGCAGCAACGGCACTGAGCGCCGAGGTAGGCAGGGCGTGGCAGGAGGAGAGGCGCAACAGCTGTTGCTGGCTGCTGGACGACCCATGGCATGCAGATGATGCTGATGCTGAAGCCCATGCTGACGCTGACGCTGATGTTGATGTTGGTGCTGCTGCTGGTGCACGTCCGCCTAGTGCTGCTCCCAGCCTTGCCTCTCCAGCACCAGCGCCTCCCCATCCGCCCTTGGCTCCCCTGTTCGCCCCTAATTCCATGCCGCCACTCAAATCACTCGCACGCCCCTCGCTCCTTTCCCCACACCCTGTAGTCAGAGGCACCCACTCCTCGCCTCGCCTCACACCCCCTCCTCGCCCAGTAGCCCCGCGCCCCTTCACCAGCCTGCCCCACTCCGCTGACCACCCCCTGATTTTCAGCCTCTCCGCACCTGTTGCTGCTCCCGCACTCACAGCACTGTCAAGCACAGCTCCCCCATCTTCCCACGCCCTCCCTTCGCCGGAAACAGCAGCAGAAGCAGCACTGTCAGCGGCAGCACCAGCGTGGGCATCCCGAGAACCGGCGGACATGCACCGTCCAGCATGCCTCAACTGCACCGGCATGCCCCTTGCCTCGCCGTCACCTGTGCTGGCAGCAGCGTGGGGAGCAGCAGCAGCAACAGCGCAGGGCAGGTGGGCAGAGGAAGGCGGCAGCGGCTGCGAGTGGAAGAGAATGCCTGAGTGCGTGTTGCTGTGCTGGTGATGCACGTGCGGCTGGCGCTGAGACCATGTGGGATGGGAGGGAGGGTTGGCGGGGAAGCAAGGCGAGGAGGGCGAGGAGGAGATGCAGAGCGGCCGACTGGGCTGCTGGCACCGCTCACTGTGCCTCTGCGCCCCCTCCTCTCTCTGCCCCTCCCCTCCACCGCCACCACCAACGTCACCAGCGCCCCCTGCCCAGTCGCCACCGCCTGCCAGCACATCCCCCATCCCTGCCCACTCAGCCCCCAACGCCCCCCCCATTCGCTTCCCCGCTACCAACAACCGCTGAGACAGGCTGTAACTGGGGGAAGCACCGCCTGCTGTACAGGCAGCAGGAGCGGCGGCGGTGGGGGGAGGAGGAGGAGGAGGGGTGGAGGCAGCAGGCATGGGTGAGGCAGCAGTGGCGGCGGGGCGAGAGACGTCTGTGAGGCGCTGCCTCATGGCTTGCAGGTAGCGTGCAATGGCATGTGGGTCACTGGAGGAGCGGAAGAGGGGCGAGGGCACCATGCGCACTGCTGCTACCTGCTGCCACTGCGACCTGCCTCCCACAAAGAGAGGCGGCAGGGCAGCGGCGGGCGAGCGTGCGTGTGTGGGAGTGCGGTGCTGCCACTGCGTGTGGTCGTGCTGCTGTGCGTGCTGCACGTCGCCTTGCTCCCCGCCTGTGTGTCTCGCATACACCATATCAGATGCCCTGCCACATGGCTCCCACTCACCCCCTGCACCCCCTGCACCCCCTGCACCCCCTGCATCCCCTGCGCCTGTTGCTGCAGCACTACTGCATGGTGAACCCCCATCAAACTCTCTGCTTGACGGACTCCTCTCCTTCCCATCCTCACACATGCTCTCCTGCCCCTCCGACAGCCATAAATTACCCGCCTCTAGATCCCCGGCCCCTCCATGCATACTCCCTCCTGCATTCCCGTCCTCCTCGCGCCCACCCCTAACAATGTCCGCAGCAGCATAACTGCGCACGCTCTCGGCCACAGCATCTGCGTCGAGCAGGTGCTTGGGGTGGGAAGTGGGGGCAGCAGCATGTGAGGAGCAGAGGTGCACGGCCACCTCTATGAAGCCCTTGTGCGTGAACTTTATGGCGTTGCCCACTGCCATGCCACACATGCCATGCCACACATGCCATGTCACGCCATGCCATGCCATGCCACAACATGCCACAATATTTATGAAGCCATAGCAGCCATACAAAGAGCCGGCAAGTCGTGAGATGGGGGCACAAGAGGCATGCGGCGGGCAGACGGATGAGCATGTGTGCTTATCGTTTTTGCGTAAATGACATGAACGTGGGACCCGGGGAGGGGAAGGGAGGGAGTCAAGAAACGGGAGAGGGGGAACTAAAGGACAAGCCATGAGGTGCAAGCATACGAGCAAGAGTGCAGGAGATATCAGTGTTGACAGCAAGCACGCAATGCAAGGCAGCAGCGCGACCGCACGGCACGCCACTCCCCTATGGGCCCACAGTGCAATGCAATGCGAGAAAGGCAGCAAGCGAGCGTAAGGGCGCACCAAGGTTGTTGATGCACTGCTGCAGGCGCACGGGATCGCCCACAAGCGTGCGCGGCACCTCGGGCGCTATGTCCCACGCCAGGGCCACTCGCTTCTGCGCCGCTTGCACCTGCCACACCACATTCGGGGGAGCGAGCACAAGCAGGGAGTCAGGGCACATGAACAGCAGGCGGGATTGCATTGGGAGAACAACCCGTGCATGCGCTGCTGGCAGCGGACGTGCGCAGGGGAGAGAGAGAGGCGCGCTGGCAGAGACAGTGGGTGAAGTGAAGGCGGTGGCAGGAGGGCGAGTGCAAGTAGCGTCTGACCTGCAGGGCGTGGAGCACGGAGAGCACGACCTCCCTGGGGCGGAAGGGCTTGCGCTGCAGCAGCAGGCGGCCAGCCTCGATCTTGGCGACGTCGAGCACGGTGTTGACGATGTGCAGCAGCGCACTGGCGGACTCAAACACCGTGTCCAAGTGCGAACTCACGTCCCCCACCAGCCGCTGCGCCTCCTCCCACTCCCCCCCCACCCCGCCTCCTGCCCCTCCCGTGCGCCCCCAACCAGCTGCTCCTGCTCCCTCCCTTTTGTCCGTGTGCTTGCCCATGGCGGGTGTGGCATGCGCGCCCCTGTGGGGTTTACTGACGCATGCGCGCGGGACGAGCAGCGCTTGCAGCGAGGCAAGCGTGTCTGCCGCCACTCGCGTCATGCCCATGATGCCGTGGATGGGCGTGCTGCAGAGGTGGACGACGGATTGGGTACGTGTAGAGGGGAGGAAGATGAGAGGACAGGAGGGAGCGGTAGGGGAAAGTGGAGGACGGCGTGGAAGAAGGCGAGGAGGTGGACGGGGGAGGGCAGGAGGACAGAAGGGTACTCATTGAGAAACGTGATGAGGCATGCCTCATGTGCCATGCCTCACCGGATCTCATGCCTCACCGGATCTCACGCCTCACCGGATCTCATTCCTCACCGGATCTCATTCCTCACCGGATCTCATTCCTCACCGGATCTCATTCCTCACCGGATCTCACGCCTCACCGGATCTCATGGCTCATGTTCGCCAGGAACTCCGTCTTTGCTTGGTTGGCCGCTTCTGCTGCTTTCTTGGAAGCCTCCAACTCCTGCCACGTGGCGGGGAGAGGAGCACAGGTGGGCATAGCAAGGGCGCGCGCGCATGATGCATGACAGGGGACTACCAGGGATGCATTGCCCACCCTTCCGGCATGCTATATGCAACCACGCAATGCTGCTGCCTGTGTGCTTGCCTTTCCCCCCCCACTCGACCTCCCCCGTGCCCCAGCCCCCCTCGCCCTCCCCCCTTGCGTGCCTGGTTGGTGAGAGTGAGCTGCAGCGTGCGGTGCAGCACTTGCTTCTCGAGCGTGGCGTTCATGGCCCTCAGCTGCCGTCGCAGGCGCCGTGTGTCGCGCACGACGGCGCCCAGCACGACGCCCACGACGGAGAGCACGCACACGAGCCCCTGCGCCTGCAGCTCCGACGCCATGGCTGTCGACCGCTGCAGCGGCCCCCACCCACGCGCCGTCGCGAAGCTCGTCAGCGCCGCCACCACAAACACCACACACGCCAGGAAGCTGCCCCGCACGTGCGCGCGCGGGGGGGGAGGGGGGAAATGGGGGAGGGGGAGTGGGGGCGAGGGAGGGAGTGTTGGAAGGATTGTCGGGGGACAGAGGGCAGGAGGGGAGCAAGGGGTGGGTGATGAGAAGAGCACGGGGAACATGCATGACAGGGCAGACGATCATGGTGAGACAAAGGACGACAGATGGAGGGGACGTTGGGGAGGAGTGGATGGTGGCGTACAGGCGATTGAAGCGCACGGCAGACCACATGAGGAGAGGGAAGAAGAGGTAGGGCAGGGCGACGAGCCATTCCTCTGAGTCGAGCACGGGCGTGAAGAGCAGCAGCAGCAGCACCGCCAGCAGCCCCACCAGCGCCCCCGCCTCTACCACTCGCAGCATGCGCCACCGCGGGCGCACGCACGCTGATGATATCACACGCACGCTGCACACGCACACACAGACAGCACGCACGGCGCACATGGCGCACGGCTTTGAGGTACGAGGGCAGCAAGGGTGGCGGCAAGGCGAGATGCAGAGCACAGGGAGGAGTGGCGAAACGAGGGGAACGGAGCAGAGCACAGAGCGCAGCAGGCGGGATGACGTGCGACAGTGTCTCAAGGCAGTGACGGCAGTGGTGGGGGGCGTCAGCGGGCAGCAGGCAGGTGCAAGCGTACCCTGAGCGCCATCCGCGCTGGCGGATGGGGCGCACGATCCAGTGGCGCGCGGACCAGAGCGAGTAGGTGAGCAGCGGCAGGAAGCAGATGACGCCCGCGAAGTCCGCCAGCCACCAGATCACGAACGTCCTGCGGGCCGTCGCACACGAGGGCATTCGGGGGCATACGGGGACAGCAGGTTGGCACATGCACGCGCGAACAATATCATGCCCCCTGCGTCTTGACCGTTCTCTCCCTCGCTGCCCCCTGCCTGCAAACACCTCCCCTCGCCCCTCCCGTTCGCTTACCCGTCCGATCCCCCCTCCTGCGGCTCCCTTTCCTATTCCGCGCATGCGATCGCGCGCACCTGGCGGAGTCAGCGGCGGAGAGCAGGTGGCAGAGCCCCATGGTGATGGCCTGAATGGCGTTCGCGATCAGCGCGGCGACGGTGGTAACCACCATCATCTGTACCACGTCCAGCGCGCTATCCAGCGGCGTCGTCTCCTCGTACACCCGCGTTTCCTCTCCCTCCCCCCCACCCGCCTCCCCAAATGCGCCCCTCTCCTCGTCCGCCCAGCTCCGCATCTCCGCGTCCTCCGCGCCTTGCTTGCCAGTGCAGCATACGCGCGCGCCCCCCATCCGACTGCTACCGCCTTCCAAGTCGCAGTCATCCTCCGCTAAGACGCCATCCCCGCGCTCTGTGGCGGGCGCCGCCGTGCACGCGCGCGGAAGGAGCGCAGCCGCAGCGGCGGCGAGCGCAGCGGCGGGCTGGCGGATGAAATGCGCGGCGACGACGGCCTGCATGGAGTTGGTGAGCGACAGCACCGCACCCGCCGTCACTAAACCCCACGCCGGCGCGTCGGGCTGCGCCGTGGCGAACCAGAGATTAAATAGCAGGTTCCCGATAAATAATCCCACCGCGCAGCGAGGCCCGAGGCACTGGTCGAATGTTAGACAGCCCGATGGAGGAAGAGAAGGGGGGAGGGGGAGGGAGGACGAAGAGGGATGGAGAGGAGGAAAGGAAGGTGGTGGCACAGAAGGGAGGAAATCTTCGGGGGAAGTGTGGAAAACGGGGAGATGCGAGTCGAGGGAAGTTGAAGCGAGGTGAGGAGAAGGACTTACGAGACTGGCGAAATAGGCAAAGCCGGTGGGAAGCCACACGGTCGAGAGCTGGCCTTGCAGCCGCAGATTGCAAATCACAAACTCGATCGCGCCGAGACTCAAATAACCAAATGTTGCGCCAGCCGTTAATAGCAACTGCATGTGCCATGGCCACTTGTCCATCATCCATCTCGCAGGCCACCACGACACATCCGCCTTGCCATCCCGGGCACGCGCCGCCGCCGCGTGCTGCGGCTGTTCGCCTCTAAAGCTGGCATTATCGCGCGTGCCTTGGTCTAAAGGAACGTTCACCGAACCCTCTGGACGTTCTGCCGAAGCGCCTTCAAGAGTATCCTGTGCTACGCGTCTCACGGTATCAGTCGCCAGCTGACTCATGACGGAGAGTTACTCTTGTGCTCAGACACCATGGACAATCCATCCAACAACAAAAAAGCTTTTTTGAGAGGCAGGGGAATGAGCAATGAGAAACGTGGTTTTAAATTTTCGCTGCTCTGTTGCGAGGTGGGCGACAGGGCCTTGAACAGTGAACAGAGGCTTGAGGTGACGGTTTTGACGGACTCGTGAGTCGTGTCCTGTCCTGTGACCTGTCCTTGGCTTGTGGAGAAGATTTCAATGAAGGGGGCACTTTTGTGAGACTGGCATGTCACTTTGCTGGGTAGGTACTGAATCACGATATTTCACTTGGGGGATGGCCCAGATCCCAGCCCACTCCAGAACTGGAAATTCGGTTGAGCACAAATCCCTTCCGAACAGTACTGCAGTAAGCCGATTGTACTGTTAAGTGTGGTGCTCAAGAGGGGAAACTGAGGTGTCACGTGTAGAACAGTGCCGAAGATGTTCCTCAAACTTGGGTGTGTATCAAGTGTATCTTAGCCAAATGGGAAGCATCTCTGGTAAAAAATCATCATTTCGTAGCTCCTGGATACATCGAATTTCGGATTGCACTTTTTGCCTTAAAGCCCAAGACCTGAATTACTCAACGGAAGTCAACGGAAAAAATTAGGTTCGGAAGGGAGGGACACGGAGGTTCGGTTGGGGTGCGAAGCACTTTCGCTCGCGAAACCAATTTGCGACAAAAGTTTCTCGCGCACAAGAATATGAGTGATGGGTGGTCCTTCCCACAACGACCAGAAAAGGGCGTCCATCCCAAACTGTGCACAGTTTGAGATAGCACGCAGATAACTAGGCATAGAGCATACCTGTAGACATAGCGGGGAATCAGAGGCGCCTTACGAATGAGTGTGGCGCGGATTTCGAGACGCGCAAAGATAGTGTCCGCTGGTGTCGAAATGCAGGTTTGAGTGCAACTGATGCGTAAACTCGCGGCGAATATCGTAGCGTGACCCTTCGCCCAAGCGTGAACCTCTCCTCGCCCTCGCTCCTTTCCCTAGGTCCCACGCTTCCAATCTCTTTCGCCATCGCTTCCCCAGCTCGTCGCCTTCGCGACCTCAGCCCGTCGCCTTCGCCCCGCCCGTCGCCTTCGCTTTCCACGCCTGTCGCCTTCACTTCCCCTCCCCCGTCGCCTTCACTTCCCCTCCCCCGTCGCCTCACTTTCCCCCCCGTCGTCACCTTCACTTCCTCTCCGCCGTCGCCTTCACTTCTCCCCCACCCGTCGCGCTCATTTTCCCCCTCCCGTCGCCTTCCCCCGCCCGTCGCACTCGCTTTCCCCGCCCGTCACACTCGCTTCCCCGCCCGTCGCACTCGCTTCCCCGCCCGTCGCACTCGCTTCCCCCGCCCGTCGCACTCGCTTCCCCCGCCCGCCGCACTCGCTTCCCCCGCCCGTCGCTCTCGCCTCCCCCGCCCGTCGCACTCGCTTCCCCCGCCCGTCGCTCTCGCTTCCCCCGCCCGCCGCACTCGCTTCCCCTCCCGTCGTCACCTTCTCTTCCCCGCCAGTCGCACTCGCTTCCCGCCTGTCGCCTTCACTACCCCTCCCATTGCCGTTCACTCTCTCCTGCTCACGCTCTCCCCCCCGCTCACTCTCTTCCCCACCCTCACTCTCTTCTCTCCTGTACACTCCCTTTCCCCCTGTTCTCACCCCTCTCTTTCCCCCTTCACTCAACCCTTTCCCCCTGCTCACTCTCCTCCCCCCTGCTCACTCCCTTCCCCCCTGCTCACTGCTCACTCTCTTCCCCCCCCCCCCCCCTTACTCTCTTCTCCCGTGTGCACTCTCTTTCCCCCTGCTCACTCTTTCCCCCCCTGCTCACTCTCTCCCCCCCTGCTCACTCTCTCTCCCCCTGCTCACTCTCTTCCCCCCTGCTCACTCTCTTCCCCCCTGCTCACTGCTCACTCTCTCCCCCCCATACTCTCTTCTCCCCCGTGCACTCTCTTCTCCCCCCTTCGCTCTCTTCTCTCCTGTTCACTCCCATTCCCCCTGCTCACTCCCCCTGTCCTCACCCCACTTTCCCTCTTTCTCACCCATTTTCCCCCTTCTCGCTCTCTTTCCCCCTTTGCTCGCCACCTTTTTCCCGGCTCACTCCATTACTCCCACGCTCTCTCTCTCCCCCTCTGCTCACTCTATTTCCCCCTGCTTACTCTCTCCCCCCTTGCTCACTCTCTTTCCCCTCTGCTCACTCTCTCCCCCTCTGCTCACTCTCTTTCCCCCTGCTCACTCTCTCCCCCTCTGCTCTCTCTCTTTCCCCCTGCTCACTCTCTCCCCCTCTGCTCACTCTCTTTCTCCCTGCTCACTCTCTTTCCCCTCTGCTCACTCTCCCCCCCTCTGCTCTCTCTCTTTCCCCCTGCTCACTCTCCCCCCGTCTGCTCTCTCTCTTTCCCCCTGCTCACTCTCTCCCCCTCTGCTCTCTCTCTTTCCCCCTGCTCACTCTCTCCCCCTCTGCTCGCTCTCTTTCCGCCTGCTCACTCTCTCCCCCTCTGCTCTCTCTCTTTCCCCCTGCTCACTCTCTCCCCCTCTGCTCGCTCTCTTTCCGCCTGCTCACTCTCTCCCCCTCTGCTCTCTCTCTTTCCCCCTGGACTCACTTATCTTTCCCCCCTGTTTACTCTATATTCCCCTTCGTTCAACCCTTTTTTCCCACAATCCCTCCCCCTGCTCACTCTATTTCCCCCTTTGCTCACCCCCTTCTCCTCCCTGCTCACTCTATTTTCCCCTTTGCTCATCCCCTTCTCCTCCCTGCTCACTCTATTTCCCCCTTTGCTCACCCCCTTCTCCTCCCTGCTCACTCTATTTCCCCCTTTTCTCACCCCCTTCTCCCTGCTCACTCTATTTTCCCCTTTGCTCACCCCCTTCTCCTCCCTGCTCACTCTATTTCCCCCTTTTCTCACCCCCTTCTCCCCCCTACTGACTCTCTTTCCCCTTCGCTCACCCTTCTGCCCTGTCCCCACTCCTCCCATACATGCCCTTTGTACCTCCCACCTCCACCCCTCGCTCATTCGCCGTACCCCCTCTTCCCTCCCCATTCTATCACAGAACCATGCTTGTACAGGTGCCCAGCACCATGGGTCCCAACAGGAGTGGGATGGAAAGTTACCACCCCCTAGGTTTGTGCATTGTGCCTCTATAATCCACTGTTGACAACTTTTATAAAAATATAACTTGCTTTGTTGCATTTCTTTGTCGTGGTCATGTGCATGGCTGCTCCAAAGCCCAGAGTGTTGTATGATTGTATCATGAAAAGCATCCACCATCATGGCATGGCATGGCATCGCTATTTGTACCACTATCACCCAACAGCAAAGACATCACAACTTCATGCATGACAGACCTGCACAAACACGAACCACAAAATCTTCTGTGCCAAAAGTTGAAGCAGCGGGGAAGGATACAAAGCAATGCCAATGGAAGGGCAGGCAGGGAACAAGAAACAAGCCCCTAGAATAAACAAACAAGGTAGGAGTGTACAGGCGTGGCAGGGTAGAAGGGTGCGGAGGAATGGTTGACGAGAGGAAGTGTGGAGGCTGAGAGGAAGGGAGGATGGCAGCGAGGGATGCAGGGAAAATAAGCATGCGCCGAGGGAGAAAATGAGCAAGGGAGACAAGGAGGAAGGGCGGAAGAGAGAAAGGGAGGGGGGAAGGAAGAAAGGGAGGATGGGAGGATGAGAGAACGGGAGGATGAGATGAAGGGAGGATGAGAGGAAGGGAGGATGAGCGCAAGGGCTGGAGGGTGGAAGGGTGGAAGGGGAGAAGGGGGGATGAGAGGATGTGAGGAATTCAAGTAGGGATAGGACAAGTGGGTGAGACGGAAAGGCGGACTATAGGAAGCTCGGAAGGTGGCAGTTTGAAAAGAAGGTCGGCATGGTGGAAGAGAGGCACGAGGATGAAAGAAAGAGTGGGTGAGAGAGTGGTAGGGAGGAGGGAGACTGGGAGGAGGGGCGGACGGGAGAAGTGGAGGGAAAGAGAGAGAAAGTCGATTTTTGAGTCGACTCAAAAATCGAAAGAAAGAGTGGGTGAGAGAGTGGTAGGGAGGAGGGAGACTGGGAGGAGGGGCGGACGGGAGAAGTGGAGGGAAAGAGAGAGAAAGAGAGGAGGGAGGAATGGAGAGTGGAAGGGCGGACAGGAGAAGGCGAATTAGCGGACGAGAGAGGAAGTCGGGACGGCTTCCTGCCCCCGCCACCCCCACTCCCCTGCCCCGCCTCCCCCACTCCCCTGCCACGCCTCCCCCACTCCCCTGCCCCGCCCCCCTTTCCCTTTGTGCACAGCGCTCCTCACTTCCCGCCTGCACGCGCTGCCCCGGCTGTGCGCCCAGCATTCTCCTCCAATGCTGCAGCAGCACCTGCCATGCGAGCGGGGTTGGTGAAAGAGAGAGGAGGAGGCTGGTTCAAGCTTGCTGTGCTGCCATAGGGTTGTGTGGGGCACAGCGTGAGGGGCAGGACGTGTGCACCGCGGAGCATGCTCCTCGCCTCGCACACCCAGGCAGTGGGGAAGGGAGAGTCAGAGAGAAGGAAAGAAGGGTGCAAGGGTGGGGGGAAGCGTGGGTGACTGTGGGAGGGAGTGTAAGGGAGAGTGGGAGGAAGCGAGGGCGACGGTGGGAGGAAGCGTAGGCGATGAGAAAGGAAGAGTGGGGGAAGGTGGGGGAAAGCGTGAGCGACGGTGGGGGGGAGCGTAAGCGACGGTGGGCGGAAGCGTGGGCGACGGTGGGGGGAAGCGTGGGCGACGGTGCGGGGAAGCGTGGGCGACGGTGGGGGGAAGCGTGGGCAACGGCGGGGTGAAGTGTGAGCGACAGTGGGAGGAAGCGTGGGCGACGGTGGGGGAAGCGTGGGCGACGGTGGGCGGAAGCGTGGGCAACGGTGAGGGGAACCGTGGGCAACGGCGGGGTGAAGTGTGAGGGACAGTGGGAGGAAGCGTGGGCGACGGTGGGCGGAAGCGTGGGCGACGGTGGGGGGAAGCGTGGGCGACGGTGGGGGGAAGCGTGGGCGACGGTGGGGGGAAGCGTGGGCGACGGTGGGGGGAAGCGTGGGGGACGGTGGGGGGAAGCGTGGGTGACTGTAGGAGGGAGTGTAAGGGAGAGTGGGAGGAAGCGAGGGCGACGGTGGGAGGAAGCGTAGGTGATGAGAAAGGAAGAGTGGGGGAAGGTGGGGGAAAGCATGAGCGACGGTGGGGGGGAGCGTAAGCGACATGATGGGGAAGCGTGAGCGACGGTGAGGGGAAGCGTGGATGACAGTGAGGGGGAGGGTAGGCAACGGTGGGCGGAAGCGTGGGCGACGGTGGGGGGAAGAGTGGGCGACGGTGGGGGGAAGCGTGGGCGGCGGTGGGGGGAAGAGTGGGCGACGGTGGGGGGAAGAGTGGGCGACGGTGGGGGGAAGCGTGGGCGACGGTGGGGGGAAGCGTGGGCGACGGTGGGGGGAAGCGTGGGCGACGGTGGGGTGAAGTGTGAGGGACAGTGGGAGGAAGCGTGGGCGACGGTGGGCGGAAGCGTGGGCGACGGTGGGGGGAAGCGTGGGCGACGGTGGGGGGAAGCGTGGGCGACGGTGGGGGGAAGCGTGGGCGACGGTGGGGGAAGCGATCGGGGACGGTGGGGGGAAGCGTGGGCGACGGTGGGGGGAAGCGTGGGCGACGGTGAGGGGAAGCGATCGGGGACATAAAAGTGCCGCCGTTGTGGGACACGACGACGTCGACGAGGAAGCGATGGGAGGGGAAAAGGGCGGACGGAAACGTAGGGCGAATGCGCCCTACAACTGGAGCTGAGGGCGTCGGAATGGGGTCATGACGGCAAGCAGGACAGGAAGTCACTGCAGGGCGGCGGGTAGTTGACTACCATGGAGAGGAAGGTGATGCATGCGGCAAACTGGCGTTTTGCGCGGTCGCGCAGGGGTTCGACGACGATGCAGAGTAAAAGGCGGGGCCATCGCACAGAATCTAGATTTTTTTGTGAACTAAGCTACAGCTCTATTGGCTTTCTGTTCTACCTCTGCTGGTAAACTGGGAGTTCCTCGTACCATACGACCTGAATTACAAAAAAATCAAACTGTGCACAGCCGCAGCCGTTATCTCTTGTGGAGGGAGTGGTTGGGGCTCTCGCCAACCAAACCTGTGCTGCTCTACGACTCACTGTTTTTCTGCGGGAAGTCATCTGGTAACCGGAGAGGCTCGGGAGAAAAACTGTGGGCTCGGGAGGCAAACTGTGCACAGTTTGCCTTCCCTTTTTTGTAATTCAGGTCTTGGGCTTTAAGATCAGACCCTCAGATTTCAGTTTTCTCAAGCAGGAATGAGCTCCGATCTGGAATGTCATCTTATTGTGTTACAGTACACAAATTCAGCCCACTAGTCGTTATAAGCAAGTTGCTCATATTCAGGTCTTGGGCTTTAATGGAAATGATGAGGTTTGTTGGAAATAATAGGTCGCTAGAGTAGCGGAAATACTCTCGGAAGTTAACCACGTCCCTGCGGAGGGGCAATGGTCACTCAGAGGTAGCTCTCGTGGCTTGTAACGTGTGTCAAACTTATATGCTATAGTCTGTTTAGGCTGTAGTGGGGTAGTTCTTATATGGTACAACACTTTTAGGTTTCCTACTTGTACCCACCTGCTTTCTAGTTCAGTCATTCATTCAAACATGGTATTCTGAGCAAGTTCCCTCGTGGGAACGTTTTTTTTTGGGCCCACCACGATAATTTTTTTTTCCTGCCCTGCCCGAAGCGCGCCTCGCGCCCGCCTTACCTGTGCCGCCGCGCGCCCTTCCCTAGCCGGCCCGTCGCGGCCCCTACTGCCAACGCGGCCCCTGCTGCCGACGCGGCCCCTGCTGCCGTCGCGGCCCCTGCTGCCGTCGCGGCCACTGCTGCCGTCGCGGCCCCTACTGCCGTCGCGGTCCCTGCTGCCGTCGCGGCCCCTGCTGCCGTCGCGGCCCCTGCTGCCGTCGCGGCCCCTGCTGCCGTCGCGGCCCCTGCTGCAGTTGCGGCCCCTGCTGCCGTCGCGGCCCCTGCTGCCGTCGCGGCCCCTGCTGTCGTCTTGGCCCCTACTGCTGTCGCGGCCCCTGCCGTCGCAGCCCCTGCTGTCGCGGCCCCTGCCGTCGAGGCCCCTGCTGTCGCGGCCCCTGCTGTCGCCGCACCTGCAGTCGCGGCCCCAGCCGTCGCGGCCCCTTTGCTATCGCGGCCCCTGCAGTCGCGGCCCCTGCTGTCGCAGCCCTGCCCTGCACCCGCCCCTGGTAAGCACTCGCGCCACCCTGCTGCGCCGCGCCGCCAGGAGCTGAGCCGCGCCGCCAAGCCGAGCCGCGCCGCCCAGCCGAGCCGCGCCGCCCACCGAGCCGCGCCGCTCTGCCGAGCCGCGCTGCCCTGCCGAGCCGCGCCGCCCTACCGGGTCGCGCTGCCCTACTGAGCCGCACTGCCCTGCCTGCACTGCTCCTGCTGCCACTCCTGCTTCTACTACCACTGCTGCTACTGCTGCTATGGCTAGCCCTACTATTCTCACATTTGATGCTGAGGGGCGAGCAGTTGACTTTGACGTGTGGGTTGACGACCTGCAGCTCTTTCTTCAGTGTGACTCTAGGGATGGGGTATCCATTTTCGATCACACGTCCGGTGTCTCTACTGCTCCTGCTGCCACTGCTGACAGTACGGTTCGCTCGCAGTGGACCACTCGTGACACTGTTGCTCGCCTTGCTGTTCGTAGTCACCTGCCGCCTGCTGAGCGCGCGCATTTTGGCCAGTACAAGACTGCTCAGTCTTTGTACGACGCTGTAGTTGCGCGCTACTCCTCCCCTGCTACTGCTGCCCTCAGCCGCCTCATGCTGCCGTACCTTTTCCCTGACCTTGCCGTATTTGCCACAGTTGCTGACCTCACTCACCTCCGCACTAGTGACGCCCGCTACCGCACTGCCCTTCCCACTGAGTTCTGTGCCAATAACCCCCCCCCCCATGTACATCACCCTTTACTACCTAGTCACCCGCCTCCCTGACTCCCTTGCTTCAGTCAGGGACCACTTTCTCTCCCTTTGCCCCACCGAGCTCACTGTCGACCTGCTAGAGGAGCGCCTCGCTGCAGCTGAGAAGAGTATCTTGGCTGTAGGTGCTTCTCGCGGCGACCGTCGCACCCTTTTCTTTGAGGGGTGTTCCCCTGTCCCCCTTCTCCCCTCTGTTGCTTCTGCTGCTGCTGTCGACCTCGTTGGCACTGAGGAGGGCGAGGCTGCGTCTGCTCCCAGTGGGAGGCGCCGCCACAGCAAGGGCAAGGGGAGCAAGGGTGGTGGAGGGGACGGCGGGGGCGGCGGCGGAGGCGGTGGTGGAGGCGGAGGGGGTGGCAGTGGAGGTGGGGGTGGTGCCGGGAGTGGGGGCTTCAGTGGCGGCGGTGGAGGTGGTGGAGGCAGCGGCAGAGGTAGTGGAGGCAGCGGCAGCGGTGGTGGAGGCAGCGGCAGCGGTGGTGGAGGTGGCGGCGACGGTGGTGCTGGTCGAGGTGCAGCCGCGCAGCGTGGAGGCTTTGGTGGCAGCCAGCGCCAGCAGCAGCCGCGTTCCCGTGAGACCCCGTCGCCCCAGCAGCTTCGTGAGTGGTACGCTGGGCGTGGGAGGTCTGGGGGTGTTGGTCCCTGCACTTACGTTCTTCGCACCGGCGGGCGTCGTGGGGAGACGTGCGGGCTGCCACATACTGCGCAGCGCTGCTTGGGTTGCCTGACTGACGCCTGGCGCGCCCAGTTTCCTGACGCTGTTGAGCTCCCTCGCTGGGGTGATCTGCTGGAGGTGCTGCTGGTGCTGGAGGTGCTGCTGGAGTTGCTGGAGGTGCTGCTGGTGCTGGAGCTGCTGGAGGTGCTTCTGGAGCTGCTGGAGGTGCTGCTAGTGCTGGAGTTACTGGAGGTGCTACTGGAGGTCCTGGTGCTGTTGGAGGTCCTGCTGGTGTTGGAGCTGCTGGAGGGGCTGGAGCTGCTGGTCCTGGAGGTGCCCGTACTGGAGGTACTGGAGCTGCTGGGGCTGGTGGTGCTGTAGGAGTTGGAGCTGCGGGTGCTAGAGCTGTTGCTACTGGAGGTGCTTCTAGAGCTGGAGCTGCTAGAGGTACTAGAGCTGGTGGTGCTGCGGGAGTTGTTGCTGGCGACCCTGGAGCTGAGGGTACTGGTGCTGTCTCTGCTGTTTTTGGAGGCGCTGAGCGGCCGCGGCCGTACTACGTTCCACTCCTTCAGCAGGTTCTTGGTCTCCCGCCTTCTCCTGGTCCTACTCCTCCGTTACTGAGTCATATTCGCAGTTACGGCCGACCTCTCCACTGCCTGGACCTTCTAATTACTCTGGACCGACTAGAGGTCTTACGGAGCGTCGTGAGCCTGAGTCGCGTCCTGTGTCGCCTGAGTCTCGTCCTGCGTCACCTGAGTCTCGTTCTGCGTTGCCTGTCCGCACTGTTCGCGCTGGTCGTCGTGTTTCGCGTCCACGTCCTCCTCCTGTCCCTGGCACTCACTCTATGACACAGCGTCCTTCCACTGCTCCACAGCGTGTCCCTCTGCCGTCTCCTCCTGCGTCCTCTCTTCCTGACGGTCCGGACCCGGAGTCTGACTCCCTTCGTGCTGCTAGTCCTACTGTCTCGCGCTTTCTGGCCACTGCTGTCACTGACCCTTTGTTTGAGTCCACTGCTGCGTCTGCTCTCGTTGCTCAGCTTGTTGACTTTGCTGCAGCCGGTCGCCTAGACTTTGCCACTAGTCTTGTTGCTGAGTCTGCGTCTGAGTCTGTCTGTCCTCCGTCCGTCGGGGGTGAGTGTGCTCTTGGCACGGACGTTCTTGAGGACAGACAGGAGGAGTTTGAGTGCTTTGCCGCTGCTGTACCTCATCTCGTGTCCATGCTGCATGCCCCTGAGGGAGACCCGGATGCACCAGACATCCCGACCCCGCGCTCTTACGCAGAGGCGATAGAGGGTCCCTACTCCTCTCAGTGGCAGGCAGCCATGGATGCCGAGATGGCTTCCTGGAAGACCACAGGCACCTACGTCGACGAGGTTCCCCCGCCTAGGGCGAACATCGTCAGTGGCATGTGGATCTTCAGGGTGAAGCGGCCGCCGGGTTCTCCGCCTGTCTTCAAGGCACGTTACGTTGCACGTGGCTTCAGTCAGCGACAGGGAGTTGACTTCTTCCAGACCTTCTCCCCTACCCCGAAGATGATCACTCTTTGGGTACTGCTGCACGTCGCCGCTCACCGTAACTACGAGCTCCACTCGCTTGACTTCAGAACAGCCTTCCTACAGGGCAGCCTGCACGAGGAGATCTGGCTGCGCCGCCCACCTGGCTTCACTGGGTCGTTTCCTGCTGGTACCCAGTGGAGCCTCCGGCGGCCAGTCTACGGTCTCCGCCAGGCACCCCGTGAGTGGCACGACACACTGAGGATGACTCTTGATGCTCTTGGTTTTGCTCCTTCCACTGCTGACCCGTCGCTGTTTTTACGCACTGACACCACTCTGCCGCCGTTCTACGTTCTCGTGTACGTAGACGACTTGGTATTTGCTACTGCTGACACTGAGGCACTCGCCCACGAAAAGTCCGAGCTGCAGAAGAAACACATGTGCACAGACCTGGGTGGGCTGACAAGCTATCTTGGCTTGCGGATCACCCGAGACAGAGCACAGCGCACCATTACCTTGACTCGGTCACACATGGTGCAGCAGGTCCTTCAGCGCTTCGGCTTCACGTACTCCTCGCCACAGTCCACTCCTCTGCCTACCGGTCACTCGCTCTCAGCTCCACCTTCGGACGAGTCCGTAGAGCCGAGTGGCCCATATCCAGAGCTTGTGGGCTGCCTCATGTACCTGATGACTTGCACACGACCTGACCTTGCATACCCTCTCAGCCTTGTGGCTCGCTACGTGGCTCCCGGTAGGCACCGAAAGGTGCACTGGGATGCTGCGAAGAGGGTGTTGCGCTACTTGTGCAGTACGTCGGGCATGGGGCTCGTGCTTGGAGGACGGGCTCGAGTTGTCCTCACTGGTCACGCAGATGCCTCCTGGGTTGACGACTTGGCTACGCAGTGGTCGTCACAGGGTTACACCTTCAGCCTTGGCTCCGGTTCTGTCTCTTGGCGGTCTACCCGCTCGTCTTCTGTTCTTAGCTCCAGTTGTGAGGCTGAGATCTACTCTGGGGCCATGGCTGGACAGGAGTTATGCTGGCTCACCTACCTGCT